TTCTTCCTCATCGAGGGCTACATCTCCATCGTCATGGACGCTGAGACGCAGAAAAAGTTCCCCAGTGACCTCCTGCTGACCAGCTCCTCAGGAGAGCTGTGGAGAATGAGGAGTGTGGGATCGTGGCCCAGATCGCAGGCCCCCTGGCTGTGGCCGACATCTCTACCTACTACATCAGCACCTTCAACTTTGACCATGCCCTGGTGCCTGAGGATGGCATCGGGAGTGTCATTGAGGTCCTCCAGCGACGGCAGGATGGCCAGGGCTCCTGAGGCCTCCACACTCTCCCTTCACCCCAGGCTTCCAGAGACTTCTCTAAGCTATTTCCTCAAGCTCTGGGATGAGCCCTCCCCACCCCTATTCCTGCCGGGGGGCCCCCTCCTTTTGCTCTCTGTAGTAAGCTGCGTGCAGGCACCGGCTCCCACGTGGACACGCGTGTCTGCCCACGCAGGGGAACACGGTGCTCTGGGCTTCCTCCGGGAACCCCTCACCCCATCACTCCCTGCGCGGCCTCAGCATTTGCACATTCCCTGCCTGAGGTCCGAGCCATCCCCCCTCTCAGCGCCCTGGGCCAGCCGCTCCCTGGACAGGGCCCTGATTTCCGTTCTGCCTCTGGCTGGGTTGCTTTCCCTGGCCAGGTGATTCTGACAGTGCCTGCCCCTCTGGGGGGCCTCCGAGAAAAGTATTTTTACATCTTTCTCCCTTTTTTATTGACTTGTTAATAAAGGGCTTGTAGTTAAAAAAAATAAATAAATAATGCTACAAAAACAAACAGCAAACAAAATGGGAGAAAATATTTGCAAGACATATATCTGGTAAGCCATATATCTGTATATAGCATATATAAAGAACACTTACCAACTCAATCATAATGTAAATAACCCAGTTAAGCAATGGGCAAGGACAGATACTTCACTAAAGAAGACATAGGAATATCAACTAGACACATCAAAAGAGGCTCCACATCATTAGTCATTAGGAAAATGCAAATTAAAACCTCAAGGAGATACCACTATATACCCACTAAAATGGCTTAAACATAAAAGAATGACCATACTAAGTGTGGACTGTGGACAAGGATGTCCAACAACTGAAACCCTTGCACAATGCAGTGGGAATGCCAAGGAGTACAGCCACAATGGAAGACAGTTCAGAAGTTTCTTTCAAGTTAAGCATACACTTCCTATGTGACCTAACAATTGTGCTTTTAGTTATTTTCCCGAGAGAAGTTAAAAGATGTTAATATAATATTTATAACAGCTTAATTCATAATAATCAAAGACTGAAAATAACCCATAGGTCCATCAACATGTAAACAGAAGTTATCAGCAAGATGGCAGACTGGGGGGTCCCAACACTCATTTTCCCCACGAAATCAACAAAAGCAATAAATAAACAACTATAAACCAATGAAAACAGCGTCTGGGAAAGCTCTGGACTACAGTAAAGCAGCAGTAGAAACCCTGTAGAGCCCCAAAACTAAGGGTGGCCACAAAGAAAAGTGTAAGAAGTATTTTACCTGTATCACTCCATTCCCCAGTCCAGAGCAGCTCAACGCCAAGAAGTGTCCCCTCAGAGGGATTTCACCCCATGAGGTAAAGAGAACCAGAGGACCCTTGCAATCCTTGTCATTGCCATGAGCTTCTGCAGCCTTTGCTACTGAATGAATGCCAGCACACCCCAATACTCTTAACCAATGCTGAACCCAGCTGATAGAAGTGCCCAGAATCCTGCCTCAGGGTCTCCTTCCCAGGGCTGGTGCCATTGCTGTGGTGACACCTGGCCACTGGAGCCCAAGTTAATGCTGTGCCCTGTTCTCCAGGACTGGAATGCCACAGGGCCTCACCATCTACAGGAAGCAGAGCTGCCTCTGTGTTGTGGCCCACCCCCTCAGTCTGAAGCCCTGTCATTGACCCACCGTTTCAAACCTGAGCTTCTGCTGCTCTGTGCCCTTCATCCTGGGTCCCAAGTGATAGCTTTGACCTGCTACCACTGGGTCATGCTGCTATTGCTGTGTATCCCACCCCCTTGGTCCTGAATTGGGGTACCTCTGTGCCCTCTTATCCCTGGGCTATCTGTTGATGCATCAACATCATCCCCCTAAACTCATGTCACAGCAAGGAGCTCCAGAGACCCAGATCCCGGTTCCATGGGTGATCTGCACACACTCTTACACCTCAGATACTGTCGTCACGGCAAGTGAGTCTGTGTCCCAGACCAAGGGCTGAGGTAGTTCTGCCTGTCACTGAGCCTGTGACCCCAGCTTCTCTGCTGCTGTGAGTGCCAGCACACCAGGACTGTTGCCAAGAGGGATCCTCTTGGCTGGAACTTAACACCCATGGACAAAGTACAACAGGAGGATCCCAGCAGGCTTTCCCCCCAACAGCCCTAGCCATCACTGCTGTCACAGACACCCGCAGGAGGCCCACAGTCTCGGCTGCTAAGGATTCCCACAGCCTTTGCCAGTGTTGGACGCAGTTGTCAGACCTGCATGGAGACTATGCTTCTGTACCCTAGCCAGCTGGTGCCCTTGCAGCCAACTTTAGATGAAAATCTTTCCCCCTCGAATCCACATTGTCCAGACAGAAAACCAGCAAGGAAATAATGGACTTGGACTGTATTTTAGGTCAAATGGATCTGATTGATACATATAGAATATTCCACCCAAGAGCAGCAAAATATATATTGTTTCAAGAGCAAACAGAACATTCTCCAGAATGGATCATATGTTAGGTCACCAAACAAGTCTTAACAAATTTAAGAAGATTGAAATCTTATCAAATATCTTTTCCAGACACAATGGCACGAAAACTAGAAATAGTAACAGAAAGAAAGCTGGAAAAATCACAAATATGTGGAAATGAAACAACAGACTTCCAAACAACCAATGAGTCAAAGAAGGAATCAAAGGAGAAATTTAAAAAAAAAATCTTGAGACAATGGGAAATGGAAACACACATACCAAAACTTATCAGGTGCAGCAGAAACAGTTCTAATAGGGAGGTTTACACCTGCATTAATAAAATAAAGACCTCAAACAACTTAATCTTATTCCTCAGGTAACTAGGGAAAAAAAAGTCCAAATTTAGCAAAAGGAATAAAAATTAGAGCAGAAACAAAATAGAGACTAGAAAGACAACAGAAATGATGAATGAAATACATGTGTGATTTCATTTATATGAAATTCCCAAAAAGGCAAAACTCTAGTGACAGATTAGTGGTTCCTGGACTTGGAGAGAGATGAGGATTGACTTTGAAGGGCATGTGAGAACTTTCTGGGGTGATGGAAATGTGCTACATCATGATTGTGGTTGTACTTACACACTGTATATATTTGTCAAAAGTCCTATATTGTACCTTTAAAATTGGTGGCATTTTATTGTATATAAATTATACCTCCATAAGTCCATCACGGAAGAGAATAGGGAATATTTATGAGATGAGAAAGCTCAGCAAATTTTTGGAATGAGGGTGAATGGATGAAAAAGCAGAGAACATTATAGTTCAAATGAGAGCTGAGCTCATGTCCTAATGCAAACTCCAGAGAAGATTCAATTTAAGCTCTTGGGAAAGGAATAAGAAAGGAGGTTTGCTTGACATGCCAGTTCACTCTGCCATGCAGAACAGTAGTGGGGGGAAAAAAATCATAATACCCCACCTCCACCTCCTGCAAAGAATTTGGACAAACTGCTTGGGGAAAGTGTGGCTGCCAATGCATGCAGCAGGTTCTCCCCCCACCCCGCCCTCAGTAAGCCCCTCTAAATCCTGATACATGGGGCTCCCAGCCTAAGCCCTGGCTTCCCTACCACACACCTGAAAATAAAACCTCTCAAATAGATCTCCTTCATGTAGATGAAGGGTGCAAAAAGTCTTCCATTCAGCAATGAAGTCTATGAAGTCAAGGGTCTGACTCAACATGAGACAAAACCAGTTGGAAACAGTACATCTTTTTAAAATACAAATGAAGGGGCGCCTGGGTGGCTCAGATGGTTAAGCGTCTGCCTGCGGCTCAGGTCATGATCCCAGGGTCCTGGGATCGAGCCCCGCATCAGGCTCCCTGCTCAGCGGGGAGCCTGCTTCTCCCTGACCCTCTACTGTTCCCCATGCTTGTGCTCTCTCACTCTCTCTGTCAAATAAATAAATAAAATCTTTTAAAATATATATATGAATGAAGAAACAGGGATTAACAAGAAAAAATAAAATAAAGAAGAAAAAGACTAAAATGCATGATCAGGACTGACCAAATGGAAATATAATATATGAATTGATAAAACAAATTACAATGTTTACAACGATTTGAGAAAATACTGCATTCACAAAAAAAAAAAAAAAATTCTGGTGGAAAATACTGATCCCGTATTGCACTTTGTTTATTTCTGTTGTAGTATTTTGTGTTATAGATACTTCCTGTCATGTCAGTCTTCTCTCACAAGACTATGCTCTTTGAAGACAGGAACGTGGTTGTGATCTGTGATGACTGAGTGTATTTTTTCTTAAATTTTTTAAAAGATTTTATTTATTTATTTGACAGAGAGACACAGCGAGAGAGGGAATACAAGCAGAGGGAGTGGGAGAGGGAGAAGCAGGCCTCCCGCCGAGCAGGGAGCCCGATGCGGGGCTCCATCCCAGGACCCTGGCATCATGACCTGAGCTGAAGGCAGACGCTTAACGACTCAGCCACCTGGCACCCCTGACTGAGTGTACTTAAAATTGGTAGATAGCCACTTCTCTTGTACTTAGCATGGCCCTTGAAACTGCCGTGGGCTTAAATTCCTAGTCTGGTGACTCCTGTGTTCTGCTTATAGACTGTGTTTATGAGATATTTGGGTTTGCTCAGGTTGCAAGATAGTAGAGCTAGAGCCATCCTTGGTGGGTTTTTGTTTATTCCAGCTGATATGAAAATTCAGTAATTGTAATGATTTTTTTTTCGGGGCCCTTTGTATGCAAGTATATAATCACACTTTTTTAAAAATGTGTATATTGTCTTTTGATGAATCCAGGGGCATCATATGAAGGCTCAGGCTCTTTCTGGATTGGGAAGAAGTAAGGAAGTGTTAAAGGAGTTTCTCTACTGCCTTGCTTTAAATCCTGAATGTAACTTGGTGAAGAAAGAAGCACAGAAGGTGTGACTTTCTTTAAACGAATTCTTTCTTAAGTCTCATTTATATAGCCGTTATGTCCATGCTGAGTAATTCCTGCATGTCAAATAAACAAATAATATAGTTCTGAATATTCATGAGAATGTGATTAAAAACACACAGAATGATGATGAGTTTCACACGTTTGATAACTTTCATCCAGGGATAAAGCACAATGTTTCATGAGACAGCATTTGCACAGCTGCGTTCTGCTGGAATAATGACATGGGCTAGGGAGGCAGGGTCAATGTGTGAGATTAGGGGAGGCAAAGTGAGTTTTCTTAGAGTTGTAATTTCAAGCATTATAGTTTGTATAGGAGCCCTATAAAAGACATTGTGATAATATACAAAATACAGCAGTTCAGCTGGAAAGGTTGACTTGAAATTTCCAGCAAAGTTTCACCAGCATGATGCAGGTCTTTAACCCAGTCTTATTAGAGGTCATTGAATCACATTTACTGTGGGAAGCCACCCTATATATAAGAGCCTGTACAATAGTTAGTCTTAGCACTTCCAGTGACCAGGAGTTCTTGTTTTTATGTCAGTGTTTCCCTATTTCAGCACTATTCATTGCTGACTTCTTTCATACATTTACCTTGCAATTTCCACTTTACAGGCTAGTTTTATTTTCTGGAGCAAGAGGGAATGAATCTGTTTTTCCTCCTCCATTTTAAACCACCTTAGATATTTGAGATTGGCTGTTATCTTTGCCCTAAGTCTTTCTTTGGACTGAACATCCTTTTCTCATGGAACAAGGTTGTAAGGTTCCCTCCTCTGGATGCATTCTAGTGTACCTCAGCATCCACATCTGACAGCGACACATGGGGAACTTTTACCTTCCCTTGTGTTCAAATCATGAAGCGTGTTTGTTTATTTTTAGCCTAATACCATCACACCATTGGCTCCTATTAGAACCTTGGTTAGCCCAAACACCTAGATCTTTTTTTGTTTTCAGTGAGAACTTTCTAGCAATACTTTTGATCCTTGTATTGTGCAGTGGATTGGTCTTTGTTAATGCTGTCAAATTATCACTTATGGGTTTTGGCCATTGTTTCAACTTGTCAGAATAATACTCAATCTTAACATCAGCTCTTCTATCCCTGCCTGCTTTGTCCCACCTGCAAATTTCACAAGAACCTTAAAACGTATCTCAACTGCTCTTTACAACAGCTTAAGAAATTCACCCTGAGCTCAAACGTAAGCAGATTTACAAAGGTCCCAGGGCCAGAATCTAGGTCTGGTGATGCTTGGGGTGCTTCTTGTCTGTCTGGTGCTATTTCAGATATGATGTTTTTCCCTGTAGCATTCTGTGAGTGGTAGATGTCTTCTCTCTCAGTGCCCCAACACTGCCAGCCTGATGATGCCCATGAAATGTAGTAATCTCCCAGGCAGCCTTCTGCTGCTTTACTGGAGCCCCCCAGAGCCAGTGCTGGGGACACTGATGTCCCTGCTGAGTGCTGTTCCTTCTTGATACAGGGGTCATGGGTACTGGTGCACTGATCTGTCACATGAAGAACAGTGGCAGGTTCTTTATTGGGTTTCGGTCACTCCTTTATACCTCTCTTAAGCCTTTGGATTCAGCTGAGTCCATGAGGTTTGGCAGGACCATCGAGTGACTGGCAGTCACTTCCCACCACCACCAGGGGCTAGTCCATGGCTCTTGAACTAGAATTATGGCTCTTCACCTGGTCTTCCTTTAAAGTTCTTTACTAGGCGGCTCTTCTGGTTCTCTTGTAAGTTGAGCAGTTCCTCTAGAAATATCTCAGTTGTGGATGATCACAACTTGGATTTAATTTAGGATCCCCACAACCTTTCCACCCCACTTTTCCCTCTTAACCATGAGACTTTTAAGGATGATTTTCTGTAGCAGATATGTAAGGACCAGACAGAAAGAACTGGTAATACTCATATTTTATAATTGGTAAGACTAAGCTGGAAAGGGACTGGTAGCTGAACTGCCTAAAGCATTGATTATGGTTCCAGAAACTGGAGTTTTGAAATAGTGGCAGTTGGACTATGGTAATTATTCTTTTCAATGTGTTAGGCCTATTTGGCCTTAGAGTTTCCTTTGGATCTTTAAGACATATTATGTATTTTTCAAAAGTGTTTTAAAATTGTTTTTTTCTTCTTGGAAATTTTATAGGTAATATGCGAGGTGTTTTTTCCAGCTTCAGAAAATGTGCCTCAGAATTTGACATCTTCCATCCAAAGCAGAATATTGAACAGCAGGCTAAAGGCTCAGTGTGCCAGCCATGTAAACACCCAGCCTCTGGAAGAAGGTGGTGGTGCAGGGAGTTCTAAGGTATGAAGTGCATGTGTTTGTCAGGATTATCTTGATTAGCTTTATGTAATGCCTTAATTTTGAACACTTACAAGTTATTCAGACTGTGGCATTGTTAATTGGAAGTACTTCTCAAGACCGGTTCTAGCTCCTCAACCTGAAAGTTTTTAAGTTTTAAAGGAAGTTGGTGGAAGTAATGAAAATAATTGAAAGAAACATGTAGAAACATTCAGGACATCACACATTGAGAACCCCAGGCATCAGGAGACTCGAATTTGTTTTGGCTTGGAGAAAAGAAAACAGAGGGATGATTTGAATACATGAAGATTGATGTTCAGTTGATCTGTCTCAAAAAGAATTATTCTATATCTTACCATGGGAAGTGTAAAGCTCGTCTTGGAAGTTAATAGATGAAACCAATCATGAAGGAAGAGCATAAGCCCTCTTTTTTCCAGAGATTTCTAAGAAAAGCTACTACATGAATATTGTTTTCTCTTATGCTATGATTTCTTTAATATTCAGGGTTCTTTTTTCCTACTTAACCAGAATCCATCTGAGAAATCTGATGTGTTTAGAAATACCAATTCTTCAGTTTTGTATTTTATACTGGGTCTGCACTTTGAAGAGGATAAAGAAGTGTTAGAGAGTATCCTTCCAGTAGCACCCAGCACCGGTTTAAAGAGACAATTTCCAAATGATTTGGAGGATGTGCATGACCTGAATGGCCCTGGGAAAATTCCCAAGAAAGGTCAGTAAGTTATTTTGTCATGGAGTTGTATGACTCCAGAGTGATAGAATGTTAGCTAATATTCAATATATTTAAAAAAATTTTATATGGATAGTTTAATAATGAAAGGAATATATCAGCTTTATGATTATAGAACAGTTTAAAATTGTTAATCCTACAAAAACTTCATAGTCAGAAATAGGGAAAATTTAGTTATAACTTTTAACTTTTATTCATGCTTACTGTCCAGATAGGTTATTGTTATATATGGTTAATCTGATAGGAACTATTCCTGCCCAGCATGATTTGTTATATTGCTGTAACACATTTTAGCCAGAGGAAATGTAGATGCTGCATGCTCTTGTCCAGATGAGCAATGTTAATTATAGCATTTTAAACTTTTTCAGAGGCAGATTCCTCACCTCAAAGGAACATGACCTCTAACATAGGAGAAAGTCCAGAGCTCTCCATAGATGTAACTGACTTTGAGTGTGCCCTTTGCATGAGGTAGGATGACAGAGAACCTGTGCAACTGTTTGAAAACCTCATCCTTTCTGAATTGGATATCCTAAACATAATGGGCTTTTTATTATCAGAGAAATTACGTATACCTTAGTAATAAATGATTTATTTTCAAAAAATTTGATAAGGAAAATCTCAATGGAAATGGATATCCATAATTTCTACAGCTGTAAGGGAATTATCTTAAGGAATTCTTAGAAAATAAATAGATTATTTGAAAATCTCTTCTGGACATTTTTGGCTAAAAACTCAGATATATTTTCCAGGTTGCTCTTTGAGCCTGTTACTACACCATGTGGACATACGTTTTGCCTGAAATGCCTTGAACGCTGCCTCGACCATGCCCCACATTGTCCACTGTGTAAAGAAAAACTCTCAGAAGTAAGTATTTCTTCTGAAACAACAGGACCGTTCAGCCACTCCTCTCATCCCTCAGTAGATGCTCATTTCTGGGGTTGGCTTTGCTTCCACTACCCATTTGCTAAAGAAAGTTGGATTTCTCCAGTCAAAGATAGGTCTTTTTCCTATCTGAATTCTCAGAAAGCACACAAGGGAAGTTTAGATGCAGAAACAATTAAACGTCAGGGAAATTTTCGGGCATGAATTATAGTTGAGATATACTGAAAACAGGTAACATAATTGGAGCTCTTACAATGTGTTAGTTATAAATAGTTGAGATAACATTACTGAGTCCTCACCATATGTTAATCATAAAGGGTTGCGATAACATTATGGCGCACTTAATGTGTGCCAAGGATTCTGTTCTTTACCTCATCTCAAGGTGAAGTCATATTGTAGTACTCAGTTTTGCCTAGGATCGAAGACTTGATCACTTTTGACTACTGGGAAATCCCTTTGGTGTGTTGTCAGTTGTGTCTTTTGTCTGTAATCAAAGCCAGTAATACTTAAGATTCCATGGAGGGAAGCTATTTAGTTATGTCTAACTCAAAAATAAACTGTTAAATCTATCCTTAGGTAGGGTAAATACAATGAACAACACTTAAAAGCTTTTAAAGGCCTTCTGATCAACTTTTCAAATTGTGAATATGTATCAACTCTATTGGGCTCTGGTGCCACTAACCTTCCACCAAGCAAGTTATTTAACCTCTTGGGGGGGATGGGTTTTTTAATCCATAAAATGATACTAATTATATTTGCCTTAATTACTACTAGAGATTAAACTCACTTAATGCATTTTAAGTGGGACAAAGTGGTTTTGTAAAGATTTGTCTATTTTTAGAGAGAAAGAGAGTGTGTGCATGTGTGGGTGTAAGCTGGGGAAGGAGGGTGGAAGGAGAGAGGGAGAGAGAGAATCTCAAGCAGACTCCCCGCTGAGCACGGAGTCTGATGCGGGGCTTAATCTCAAGACCCTGAGATCATGACCCAAGCTGAAATCAGAGTCAGACGCTTAACGGACAGAGCCACCTAGGTGCCCTAGGCTAAAGCGGTTTTCTTTAAAACAAATGTCCAGTAAAATTTATTTTTGAATTTGATATGGTAAAGGAGATATTATACTTAGGTGAATTTTTAAATAATTGTAACATAGTTTACTGCCAAAATTTGTTAAAATAAGTTATAACTGAGACCTTTCTAAATCATTCTGTGTACGTACTTGCTTTTTTAAATTGCATACATGCTGGAACTCTCTAAGTTAACCAGGGCTCTCATCATGAATATGATTCATTGTACTATGTGCCATGTGTCATGATGACAGTGCTTTTTGAGTAGCAGTTTCCTTTGGCGGTTCCTCCGCAGGTCCATTGCACTGTGTTTGCTCTCTCTTCTTGCTAACAGTGGCATAGCATCTGGCCTGTTACCCTGTTGTACCCATGCTTGTCTGGGCTGGTGGGCCTGGAGGCACCTTGTTTATTCCCAGACAGTAAAATGCATGTCTTTATGACTACTGTGTGTAACACAGACCCTTTGTTCACTTCCATGTTCAGTGCTCTCTGCTAGGGGCTATGTGATTAAGTAGTGCATTGACATTGGCACTGTAATATAAGCTCCTTAGGGACAGAGACGACTTCTGTCTTGTTTTCACTCTATCTCCAGGGGCCAGAACACAGAGTAGAGGTTCAGGAAATCCATGCTGAATGAATGATTGAATGAATGGGTTGAGTGCAAGTTCTGCATAGATTGCCAGTGTTGCAGAATTTGGAATATAACGAAACCAACTAAAATTAAAAATCATACTTCGCTCTTTCTTTGACGCAGAAACCCCTTCATGAGCTTAGACTTTCTCACATACATTATTATAAACACGAATCATCAACTATCTAGGTATGCACACAAGTCTTGGGTAACGTAATGCCAAGTAAAGCAAATTGTAGTACTCTTCAGTAAATGGTGCCATAAACTAACAGTATAAAATATGGATGTCATTAATAATACTTACTGTGAATTAAGTTAAACTTGTTTCTGCTGGTTATTCTGTTACTGAGGGTCTCAAACACAGTTGTGTCCCTGAGGCTGAACTCCTAGTTCTTAGTGACAGCAATACACGTAGCTTGTTTCACACAAGCTAAAGGGAGACGTGGCAGTATATCTAGGACTCGCCCAGATGTAACTCTTAGAAATCTCTAGAGCAAGCCCAGAAATGCAGCACGTTAACAAAGCAACAGGCTCATATTGAGACCTACCAGTCCCACAGTCCTGGTGCCACTGTGGCTCTACACTAGTCCCTTAACCCCTCTGAGACCCCTCTTCTTTATTAGTGCATTGTAGACAATACTTCTGGGATAGGGCTATTTCAAGGCCTAACTTCATTTTTATGAAACGTCTGTAATTGGTACCTGATATATATTAGGACGTTAGGGAAAAGAGCTGTTATTTGCAAATTCATATGCCTAAGATAAAAGTAGTGCACACACACACACAGAGTAATATAGATCTTCAGCTACATTTGACCCTTCCAGCCACCGGGATCCTGGCACATTTTAATTCAGTTTCCACCTATTTCCCTTCACATCCAGCTCTAATTCCTTGGTCCCTCAGTCTCTTTCCCAATCCAAATAAAGTCAACTCTGCCTCTCGCACATGTCCATATAAGTAACAAAGCAAAGCTAGAGAAAAAGCCACAAAATTGGGAAGATTGGTTTCAGTTTAAATTCACAGTCTTAAATCTTAGACTCAAAACATTAGTAGTCATTCTTACTATGCTTCTCTAGTAGCTTCAATTTTCCACTTTCTCGGCTGATTATTTCCCATTTCTCTTCTTTCGCAACATATCCTCCTCACTTCCTCTCCCTTCCCTAACATTGTGATACATGATTGAGAATGCAGAAGCCAGCAAGACTGGGATTCACTCATCCTTCCTCCAGGTGATGAACACCTTCTCCTGCCTTTTGCTCAGATGGGAGGAACTGCCCTGCCCCTGTCGCTACCCCAGGCTGACTGACCTCCTGGCTCTCCATCCCCGTCCTTTTGTCTTCCCGAAGACTCTGTCCCTCTCCCCCCTGGTTGACCTTTTCTACTAGGGACAGAGTGCTTTGTACTATAGAATGAATTACCATGTGGTATTATTTAACATTTCCTTTTGTTACAGTTGTTGGCAAGCAGAAATTTTAATATAACTATTTTGGCCGAAGAATTAATATTTCGATATTTATCTGATGAACTCTCTGATAGGAAGAGAATTTATGATGAAGAAATGACAGAGCTGTCAAAGTAAGTCCTCATGTTGTATGTACTTGGTTTTGAGTTCAGATTAAAGAAGGAAACCCTTGCATTCATACTTTTATCTCAGGTTTTTATCCCCCCTTGGCAGAGAAATTAGACCTAAAAATAGAGGGGCGGAGCAAGATGGCGGAGGAGTAGGAGACCTGGATTTCGTCTGGTCTCAGGAATTCAGCTGAATAGGGATCAAACCATTCTGAACACCTACGAACTCAACAGGAGATCGAAGATAAGAATAGTAACAACACTCTGAATAGACCTAAAAATAGAAAAAAATATTAATTGCAAAGAGTTTATGGAAATTTGATTGAAAGGGGTCATAAAAAATATTTCAAAAGTGTGTCCTCCTGGGGCCCCTGGGTGGCTCAGTCAGTTACGTGTCTGACTCTTGATCTCAGCTCAGGTCTTGATCTCGGGGTCATGAGTTCAAGCCCCATGTTGGACCCCATGCTGGGTATGGAGCCCACCTTAAAAAAAGTGTGTCTTCACAAAATTATGTAGTTGCTTTTTGTATCTAAGTAAGTGGTACTGAATTTTTCAGAATTGAAAAGGCACAGTATATAGAAACAGGAGGGAAAACAGGTTTACCCCTTGAAATAGTCTTGACAGTTGTTTTTATCTTTTAAAGTGATTAGAGTTGTGTGTTGTAGCAAACTTTAACTATTGAGGTCTTATAATTCTTCCACTCTTTTTTATTTAGAACTCATTACCTTTGACTACTGTGTAGTTTTTGCTTTTATCAGAACTTTTTTCTCTTCTTCTTATTTATTTTTATTGAGGTAAAATTGATGCATAGCACTATATGAATTTCAGGTGTGTAACATAATGCTTTGATATTTATATATATTGCAAAATGACCCCACCACAATAAGTCTTAACGTCCATCACTATACATAGTTAGCAATTTTTTTTTCTTGTGGTGAGAACTTTTAAGACCCATTCTCTTATCAACTTTCAAATATGCAATGCAGTATGATTAGCTGTGGTCACCATGCTGTGCATTACATCCCCAGGACTTACATATTTTGCAGCTGGAAGCTTGTACCTTTGACCCCCTTCATCCATCCCCCACCCAACCTCAGCCTCTGGCAAACGCCAATCTTTTGTCTGTATCTATGAACTTGGTTTTGTTCTTCCTAGATTCCACTTGTAAGTGAGGTCATACAGTATTCACTAATTTCACTTAGCATAGTGCCCTCAAGGTCATTAGAACTTTTTTTAATCATAGTCGTAAGCTATAACTTTTTCCAAGTAAATTAATACAATTCAGCATGTTCTGTCTCATCAAATTAAATAAGACCGGCTTGGCAGGAAACCTGGTAAGCTGAGAACTTTCTCATGAGGTGGTCCTTGGCTTCCTTTCCCCACTAAAGACTGACAGGCCTGAGGGTTTTATGTTGTAAATGAGAGAATTGAGGTTGGCTAGCTTTTTCTATTTTACAGTGACTAATATTCCCCTTTGTTTCTAACTGCTCCTACTTCTAAGTTTACATTTTCCCTCACCCAACAGTCTGACCAGAGATGTCCCCATCTTTGTGTGTGCCATGGCCTTCCCCACGGTCCCGTGTCCACTTCATGTCTTTGAGCCCCGCTATCGGCTTATGATAAGAAGATGCATGGAAACTGGCACCAAACGGTTTGGCATGTGTCTATCTGCTGAGCACGCAGGGTAAGAATTGTCAGTATTCAGAGGGTCCTAAATAAATACATAACTTGTTATTTTTCTCAAAGAACAATTTAAGATGATATTGAAAACTTCCTGTAGCTCCCATTACACAACAATGTCTAAGTCTGAGGCTATCTGTGATGTGGTCCCAGGCTTTCTTCTAGCCTCATCTCCTACTCCTTTCTTTCAGACATTATACTTGCTAGTCCACTACCATATTATTTGCCTTTCTCTAAATACAGTTCATATTCATGCTTCTTTCTGCCTGTAATTCTTTTCTAGTTCATCATCATGCAAACAAAGCCAGTCTAACTTTTAAGGTCTAAAAAATTTGCTAAAAAATTGAAGCCTCTACCTACACAGCCCAGACAAATTTCAGTCTTATAATAACCCCAGCTCTTAAGTTTTTACCTCTCCTCGTTTTACATCAAATTGGCAGGCAGCTCCGCTCCATGGCTGCTCTGGGGACTCTGGGTCCTTCCCATCTGTTGGCTTCCTTATCCCCTAGGGCTTTGTCATTACTGCATGGTTATGATAAGGTCACTACATGCAAGTTGTAGCTGGTAGAAGAGGCACATATGCTCTGGAAGCATTCTGGAGAAAAGGGATACACATCACTGTTGCTCACACCTACTGCAATGGAGGCTGGGAAATGTAGCCCACCCATGTGCCCAGGAAGAAAAGGAGAATGGATATGTAGGACTATCCACTAGTTTCCACCATATATACCTAGGAACAGATCTTTTTTTATTTTTTAAAGATTTTATTTATTTATTTGACAGAGAGAGAGAGAGCACAAGTAGGCAGAGAGGCAGGCAGAGGGAGAGGGAGAAGCAGGCTCTCCCCTGAGCAGGGAGCCCGATGCGGGGCTCGATCCCAAGACCCTGGGATCATGACCCAAGCCAAAGGCCCAACCGACTGAGCCACCCAGGCTCCCCAGAAGAGATCTTTTTAAAGATATGTGTAGGACCTTTATGGAAAAAATTCTACAGCTTTATTGAAAAATATTCAGGAAGATCTAAATAAATGGAGAGAAATACCATATCCATGGATGGATGCATAGACTTTGATGTCATAGAAATGTCAGTTTTACCCAAATTAGTCTATAAATCTAAAGGAGTTTCAGTCAACATTGCAGGAGGGGTTTTTCATGGAACTGTTCGAGCTGATTTTTAGAATTATATGGAAAAGTAAAAGATCAAAACCGTGATAGTTTTGAAGAAATCAGTTGAGTAAGATGGGAGAACACTCTCAAAATAAACTTAGAATTAGAAGTCCTAGTAAGTAGATCACTGAAACAGAATATGGAGATAAGGAACAGATCCGCTCATTTATGGACCCCATAAATACGTATAATTTTGTGAGAAAAGGCAAGCTGCTCACTTAAAAAGTGCTTAGAAAATTAGTGGGCAGTCCAGATGGAGAAAAATAATCTTTTCTCTGCCTTGCACCATATACACAAATTAACACATATTATTTACATTCTCAGTATGAAAAACAACATATAAAAATTTTAAGAGAAAACATTGGAGACTATAATTAGGAAAAGGAAAAGATTTTTTTTTTTGTACAAGATGCTGAGAGCACATAGCATGGAAGAAGAGATTAATACATTTGAATATATTAAAATTTGATTCATCAAAATCAGCAAAAGCAGAGTGAAAAAACAAGTTCCAGGAGTTCTGCTTCCATGAAGGATACAGAACACTAAGATGAGCATTACTCCAGACAAACTCTAGGATGTAAGTTTCTTGAACCTGTTGGTGAGCAGAGGTTGCTCACAGTAAGTGAGGAGAGGCAAGTCCCTCCAGGGAGAACAGTAGACAAAAGCCTGGCTTACCTGTGACAGAGCCCAGGAGAAGGAGACCTGCAAGTGGGTAGGAAGAATTCAGCTAGTTTTTTGGGGGCCATGTTCTAATGACTTCATGTGGACAAGCATGAAGAGTTCAGATGCTCTGGGAGTTACAGATGCAAGGGGGATTTGCCTTCGTTCACAAGTTTTTGTCCACAGACAGGACAGGATGCTCATTGGAAAGACAGTTTCTGTAGCTGAGACAGGCTTTGGAGGAGCTGACATTTGAAGGCATTTGTCTGCTGAGGGCTGGGGCAGGAAGTCCTCCCTTGAAGGGAATCTTCAGGGCACCTCCGTCAATGCCACCGGCTCTGGGTAAGATAGCATCTATCCTGTTAGATAAGCAGGAAGAGATAGTTTTAGGAGAGATCCAAGTAGAGGTGTCCAGCCTTACAGGTGTGTGACTTGGGAACCGTCACTCATTGTTCTCTTGAAGGTATGTAATGAAGTTGTTCTTTCACTTTAGAATTAGGTAGCCTTGGGTTCAGATCTCAGGTCTAAGTCTTGCCATGGCCTTACATAAGTTGTTTGATTTTTTTAAACCTTCCTGTTTTCGTGAGGCTTGAATGAGTACATATTATAAACCATGCCATGTAATGGGCTCAATCAGTCTCCTCAGGAAGCAGATGAGAGTTACAAGAGTGAGAGTGGTTAAGATCACAGGGGACAGCTTTGGAGCAAGGATGCCACCCTGGGCGGGCCCTGCGTGTCAGGGACATGTGGAGGAGGGAGGCATCTGTAAAGGGCTGCCCAGGTGAGGGAGCACCACAGAGAGCAGCAGAGGGTGTTGGGTCAGTGACAGATCAGCAGGCTCATGCCAGAATCATGTGTGACTTCCAGTGGGGTCATTTCAGTGGGATGGTGGGGTATGGAGATCTGCTGGGGAACAGGAGATGAAGGCAGTGACTGTGGATGACTTTCCATAGCAGTTTGTTGGGAAGGACAGAGCTGGCCGGCATCAGTGGAAATGGGGAAAGAGGGAGCAGAATCTGTGAGTGGCATGGCAGCCCCCAGACATACCGTGTGCTCTCTGTACCCCCTGCCGGTGCCCTGACCAAGGGGACTGAGGATTCTCTCTCCACCTCTCAGGTCCTTCCAAAGCACTAGCTTATTTGAACCACTGCAGCCCTAGCACACCTATATGTTTTGCATTTAACAGAAGGAATCATCTGCAGGTGTCTCTTAGAGAAAATAAGCTTGCTGGTCCCATGTGGAGACACCATTAGTTTTGTTTAGATCTTCTGGTCATTTCTCCCAACTGTCCTGTCAGAATTTCAGAGTACGGCTGCATGCTGGAGATTAAGGACGTCAGAACGTTTCCTGATGGGAGTTCGGTTGTGGATGCCATTGGGATTAGTCGGTTCCGAGTTCTGAGCCACCGTCACAGAGATGGCTATAACACAGCCGACATTGAATATCTCGAAGATGAAAAGGTGAGGTTTATTTTACTGCTGCGTGTTTAGCGGTCAGTCACCTTGTTTCCCTCTGCGCTGTGGAAACACTTGGTCGGATTTTTACAAGGTGACTTATATCCTCCCTAATTTATTACCTCAGTGGATTTTTCACCTGAGCTGGGACTGGTGGACACATCTCCTCTTCAAAAAAATTACCTTACTGTTGCACATTGTGAAATGCCTTTGTGATTTGTTGTCTCGGTGTCCCGGCTCAGGAGTTGGCAAACCTTTCCTACAGACGGCCATATGGTCAATACTGTAGACTTTCCAGGTCATGCAGTCTCTGTTGCAACTAGTCAGCTCTGCTCTTCTAGCACAGAAGCAGCTGTAGACAGTCTGTAAATGAGGTGGCACGACCCGTTTCCAATAGAATGCTGTTTACATAATAAACATATGCAATGAACAGGATTTGACTTGTCAGTAGTAGTCCATCCCTGTTCTGGATGCTGGTATTAGTTCAGAATGAGATATAATATAAAAAACAGTGCTTAAAAATACCTTCTAAAGCTCAGTGTAAAAGGTTTGGATTTCTTACCCCTTAAGAAATACTGATATGTCTAAAAGAAATATCAGAACCCATATCTTGACAGATTAACAAAATGTTTTGAAGGGATTCTCAGAAAGATGGGTACAAAGATGTCCCTAGCAGTCTTATTCATTAATGGCCAAAACCAAGAAATAGTGCAGATCCTCATCAGCAGAGGAATGGATAAACAAACTAGTATATTTATATAATGGAATACTACTTGGCAATAAAAATGAAGGAACTGCTGACAGACAGAACAACGTGGAAGAATCTCCTAGGTCTCTCAACAAACACATCTCTCAACGTGATGCTAAGCCAGGGAAGCCAGACATACAACCACACATGCTGTGTGGTTCCATTTATAAATTCCAAGACCAGGCATCACTTGTCTCTGGTGTTGGAGGGCAGAGACTGGCTGGGGGTAGAGGGAGGGCCATTGTGGGTGATGGAAATGCCCCCTGTCCTATTGAGGATCATGATCCCACTGGTGTGTACGGCTGACAATACTCTGAGCCAATCATTAAGATTGATGCATTTTCTGTATGTAAATTATCCTGCAGGAAAAATATTACAACCATCTAGAAAGAGGAAATCCTTGGAATTACTGTATCCCTCTTTTGAATTCTTTGGTTCACATTTAGAAACATGGAAAGCGAGAGTTTTTAGCTGTCTGACATCACCCTGGAAGTCACTTTGGGGACAGTGATGTACATTCATGATGCCCATGAGAAGAGCCACACCCACAGCACCAGCACCATCCCTTTTTCAGCTGCTGGTTCTGGTCATCCAGAGCACAGGGGCTCGAGGTGCAGGGGAACCAAGCACAGCGAGTCAACCCTAACGCCACAGGACCAGAGAGTGGGGTTTAAAGGATGTGACTGTGTGTGATTGTTTTTGGGGTCCCTCTGCTGCCCCAGTAACAAATCTGAGGAGAGGGTTTACTGACGTGGATGGTGATTTTTAGTGGTCTATGTATGTAAAATGAGAGCTTACATAGCTACAACATGAAATAATTTTGGTGGTTTTTTTTTTGAAAAGAAAATCCTCTACTACCTAGAATGTTTAATTTGTATAAGTCACATTGAGAATGGTTGTATGCATTATAATCTAATTCCTCAGTTTACCCTAGTTTTCAGAGATACTAGGATTTTATAACCAGAAAGGACCTGAATGGTTTATTCCCACTTTGTAGATGAAAAACCCCTACCCTCAGGAGGCTGTGTGACTGGCTCATGAGAATCAGCAGTGAAGCCAGAACACATCGGGGTCACTTGGTCCCCTGCCCAGTGCTTTTCCCACTTAGGTGTTCCTGAGTAGGACTGAGACATACTTAAAATGAATGACTTGGCAGTGAGATAGGCAGCCAGAAGCAAAGCATGGTAAATCTAAAGCATCAGGCTGTGTAAGGCTGTGTAAGGCTGTGTAAGGCTAATGCAGAGAAGTGTGGTAGCTGTAACATGTTTTTTGGAATATAGTTTGGTGATATGGAATACAATATTTTGAATGTCTCACTCTTTGATGTGACAATTCTACTTCTAGGAAACTATCCTGAGGGAATGATGGCCCCTTCTCTCACCACCGACAACAAAAATAAAACAACCCCCGCCTACTTTTGCATAAATATTTATATTGCTGTGTTATTTTTAAATATATCTTATCTGAATGGTGGAGTAAATTCTCAAATATAGGATTGCATGTAGCCATTGAAAATTACTCATGGTAATATGGGATATGTTTATATTGTTAAGAGAAAAATCAGGATGTTATAGAAAGACAGGGTAGATAGATCTTCACTGTATAAGAAAAGTACAGATTTGTATGTTGAGCACATAATAGGTTTATAAAACACGAATCAATTATCTAAGAAATAAATACCACGAATCCACTTAGCAAACGCGGCAGATGTCGCTACATTTCATGTGTAATAATGAATTGTTGAAATGGTGGTCCCTTTTTCCTTGATCAGGTGGAAGGTCCAGCATATGAAGAACTTACCAGTCTTCATGATTCAGTTTATCAACAGTCGGTTTCCTGGTTTACTTCACTTCAGGATCACATGAAGGAACAAATTTTAAGCCATTTTGGGTTAATGCCAGACAGGGAATCTGAGCCTCAGGTATAGTCTCCTTATTTCTTTTATAATGCTATTATCTGCTGCTATATAGTGTGCTAAGACATATTCTGAAGGAAAATTAGGCAGTACTATGCAATATACTCCATCGTGATCACTTATGAACCAATTCATTTATCGACAGCACAAAGAAGCACCTAATATAGTAACATGTGCCTTTTGGAGCAAAACAGTTAGTGCTTTCTGATTAGTACTGCATAAAGGTAATTTCTTTTCTGTCAAAAAAATTTATTCTGATTGGCTGTCAGCTTTAGTACTTTTTTTTCTCTCCAACTATTTAAACCAACTTTTATTTCTTCTCCAACTATTTAAATCAACTGTTTAAATCTTACGATTTAGAGAGTAATAATCCTTGTATATTGTCATGAACACTCCGTGTTTTGCACATAATATTGCCTTGCACCTAATAAACAGGTGTTGAATAAATGAAGAGAAAATCAAACTCTCATTAAATTAGAAGACTTCCTACCTTCAATCCAGCCCAGCTTTCTCTGGTGCTCTGCAAGCGTGCTTTCCGTGAAGCTGGCTCTTCAAGCAATGCCTGGCTTCAGGCTGTGAAGCAGTTCTAAGTGCAAATGAATCCTCTCCTCCTCCTCTGGGTGACAGAGCCAGGCAGGGATGGCTTAGGCTTGTGGCTGAGAGTATGTAGTTCCTTCTACTGTACATGCTCATCTTTCTTGTGGAGAGAGTGGGGCTGGAGGACCAGCTCTCAGAAGGTTTGGGGGAAGATGAAATGTCCTTTGTACTTTTCGCATTCATTTTTATGTTCTTTTCCTATCTCTTGAGGATTTCTGACTTCCCCCCCCTCGTCCCCCATGTCTTTTCCAAACTCAAGACCATCCTGTAAGCCAAAAATTATCTCAAATGTAATCCTCCTGATCTTTCAGTAGAATCTTCCTCATCCTAAACTAAGTTGACACCAGAGTCTACCCTCTCTAGTTCCCAGGTGGGATTCTGTGTACCTTTGGGGTGGGATTGGAGGAGAATCCAGGACAGGAAGCTGGGAAGCCTGGTTATCTTGGTTCTTTTTTTTTTTTTTTTTAAAAATTTTATTTATTTATTTGAGAGAGAGAGAGAGATAGAGAAACAGCATGAGAGGGGAAAGGGTCAGAGGGAGAAGCAGGCTCCCTGCTGAGCCGGGAGCCTGATGTGGGACTCGATCCCAGGACTCCGGGATCATGACCTGAGCCGAAGACAGTAGCTTAATCAACTGAGCCACCCAGGCGCCCGGTTATCTTGGTTCTTAATGCCAGAAATACTGAGAACAACTTTATGACCAGCTTTGCTTAGAGCTCAATCCAGAAGTGTGTGTTTGGATATGTGAAATAAAGGGTATCAGTTAGCATAATAATTCTTGTACAGTTAATTCATGGTGGTTCCCGTATATATAATTAACAATAATTCATATATAGATGTTTTATCTATGTGTGCACATTTATCGCATAGCTATTAAAAGCTTTATTATAATACTCAAACTTGTACACATAATTTTAGCCTTCCTAATATTGAGTTTTTATGGTATATTTAAAACTAAAAAACAATAACACATAACACTGGAAATAAAGGTAAAAATTATGGTCCTTACATCCGATAGCTATATACTCCCAACTAAAGCTTTGAGAGAACAGTAGCAAGTAATTCATGAAATTTCCCTGTGGAAGATGCTTCTCTTTGCAAGCTCTTTGTTTTGTGAGTTCTTCCACATTTAAATGTGTAGCAGGAAAGCAAACTTTGTATGTCAAGGGCTGAATGGATGGGAAGTAGACCTAAAATAGAAGGTAGCATTTAATTCTCGCTCCTGCCTTATTGGTGAAACAGAAGGACAGTATTGGGGGAAGAGACTTGTATTTTAGGTGATAATTTTGATTTGCTTTCATTTCTTTTGCAGAGTAACCCTAGTGGCCCGGCGTGGTCCTGGTGGATCCTGGCGGTGTTGCCATTGGAACGCAAGGCTCAGCTGGCTATTCTTGGCATGATCTCCCTTAAAGAGCGTCTGCTTGCCATTCGGCGAATATTAGTCATCATCACGCGTAAGATGAATAGTCGGCAGGAGCTGGTTAATAGGGAGAGAAATAATTAATTTTCTCTCTCTCTCAAGGTTTCTGGAAGCCCTTGTACTTTTGTGAAGAGTGCTAGGCATGGAGAATATCATCCCATTCATCATGCTTTGTAAAACGCTCGTTGATAGGGTTACAAAATGGAACACTTAGCAAACATTGACTCCTACTCAAATGTTAAAAGTCTGTGCCTCGCGGAACCTGACTCTGTGCAAGATTAGTCTGAAGTTTGAATGAAGCCCATGGTTGGAAAAGAACCTAAGAGAATCTCTCTGAAGCAGAGGCTCTAGGGTGTAGTTCACTGACAGCAGGGAACACCACAGATGGTTGACGACTGGTTTAGGTTTTGCAAGAAAGAAGGACCCTTTCCCCAGTGAAGTGTCTTCCTGCTCCAGATGGAAACAGCATGCTTTGGTGGCTAGACAGGAAGGGGAAACCACATTTTTATCTGGAAGCAGATTTCTCAGAACACAGGCTAACTGAAAATGTGCTTAGGCTTTGTGTGTCACTGTGAAGTTGTCTGTGAAGTTGAGGAATCAAACTGTGGTCCAGTGCAGGAGCCCAAATTAGTCGTCACCCAAGAAGCTGTAGCTGCTTGGTAGAACTGTGTTTTGTGTCCGGCGGTAGTTCAGATATTGTACATTGCATGTTGTAATCAAATGAACGTCAGAATACACAAAGGTGTACCCTGGATATAGAAAAATCTGAGAACAGTATAGGTGACTTGAGGATATATATTCCTGCACACTCAAGAAAGAGTGAGCAAAAGTTAGCTAAAACTCTACATGCATTGGGATATCAACATACAACCAAACTAGTGCAAAAAATTCCTTGAAAACATAACCCTGTCTCATTATTTGGTGGGTACTAAGCGTTTAGGAAATTGTCCTCTTGCTACTAGGATTTGCATTGGAAATTAGGCCCATCAGTAATTTGAGTTCACCATCCATCCACTCATATATGAAGACATGAAAAAGCTGCTATGGAATGGGCATCTATCTATTCCAGGAAAACATACCAGGACAATATGCAAGAAGCAGGAGGTGGGGATGGGATGTAAATAGTCAGCAAGTTTTTCCTCCATGTTCAACCTAAAACTTTTCTTTGTGTCTTTTGAAAAGAGGTTTCAGAAGTGATCAGACCTGGTGTTATCTATTAAAGAATAATACATGACAACTTCAGCCTCGGATGCATGTTGGTAGTATTAATTGGAATAACCATTTGAACCTGAGATACTGAATTTTTCTCACTGGCCTAACCAGCTGGTGCGTTGAGTTGGCTTCTTGGTCTATGCTGTAGATAGAATGGAAAGATGATGAGAACCAGGCCAGGGAATAAAGCACAGCTTTCTAAGTTTTGCTGTATTCATTCAAGGTGTATGACATTTGAGTTTTAACAAATATATTTCATAATGTCAAAAGTTGGTTGTTTATCAATCCATCAAGCATTTTATTAGAAAGACTTTATAATTGTGTTTCATTTTAATTGTAGAAGTTTTCAATAGCTAAAGCTCAGTTTCATTGTGGGAGTGAGAAAATATTATTCTTATATAACTTAGTCATAAAGTGAAAATGTGAAACTATTTCCAATCAGATGTTTCTAGTGCCTCACTTCCTGCAAATCTCAAATCTCATCTTGAACATGGTTTAAAGGCAGTTTCGCCAAATGATTTCTAAAATATTTTATTGATTCGTGTGTTAATGATAGTATCCAACCTTCTTAGGCATTGTATCTTAACCTGATCATCTAAAAGAAAACAAAACTGTGTCTAGTATGCCAGAGGACCTTTCTTGGGAATGGTTCATGGACATGGGTATGCACTGACCATTCTCTTTCTTTCTCTTTTGGAGAATTTTTCCTACCTTAAAACCATATCATTGCTGTTTCCATCTGAGAGTATGTAAAATAACCACAGTGTGTTCACAGTTTCCCCAGGAGCCTTCCTGAAGTTAAGTCCCTGTGCTCAGTGTACCAGGGCTTGTCCTGTACATCAGATGTTGTTGCTTTCTCAGCCTTACTCCTGAAATGTCATTACTGGCACAGATCTCTGACCAGAACCACTAACTTACCTTTTCCTGATTCTGTCTGCCTTTTTCTCAGTTGTCAGCTCGTTCCAAGTGTTCTTGTGTAAAAGCCTGTTTGGCAGTAATGATGTAGATAGAACAGCAAAATTTTCTGTTGTCTGTCTTTTGACACCCAAGGGAATGGACTGTGACCACTTCAGGCTCTGTCCAGCATCTCACCTCTGCCTAGAGCAGAGCAGGATCAGATGGGCACTTCCTGAGCACTTAGATGATATTCTTTTTTTTTTCTTTTAAGATCTTATTTATTAGAGAAGAAGAGAGCACACGCTCGAGAGAGCACAAGCAGTGTGGGGGGCAGGGAGGGAGAGGGAGAAGCAGACTCCCCACTTAGCAGAGAGCCCGACGTGGGACTTGATCCCAGGACCCCAGGATCATCACCTGAACTGCAGGCAGATGCTTCACTGACTGAGCCACCCAGGCGCCCCTGAGATGACATTCTTTATCAGGAAGTTGGACCAGGGAAATAATATCTCAAGTCATATTATGAGGGAAGCTTCCTTTTACAAACTTAAGGAAACCTAAACTCCAGTTTGCTACAAATTTGCTACAAATTTAGCTAAAGCAGTGGAACAGCTCCACCCCCACTTACCGCTTTTTTATCATGGAGATGTCATTTCTAATATTTCTCAGAAAACAAGGTCTCATTCAGAGTCAGAACATTCAAGTTTAATTTTACTGAAAATGTTCCAACACTAATGGTCTAGTTATATCAGAATAAAAACAGAATCTACTTAGAGTAATAATAAGAGTGTGGGGGGAGTAATTTTTCTTCTTTAAGTATAGTACTTGAGGCACATTCTGTACACTCTGTTAGGTGTTTTTCCATTTCACTCTCCTAAGTGGCTTGACTCGTAATTCCATCCCTGCCTACATCTCTGAAATACAACTGATATCCTGATGGGCAGTGTTCTGAAAGCTCATGAGATTTTTAGGATATCACATTCCCTATGTGTCCTCATCTTCAAAATTGAAAGTTAGAATACTTTTTAAAGTTCCAAATTAAAAAAAAATGTAAAATTTTAAGATTTTTCCATGCAACCACATAAGTGGTTCATAACCAATTCATGTGCCAACTTTTGGAGTGTTATCCCATTTTTATAACCACAAAGATGTCCTTTCTTCTCTTAAGCATCACTGCCCCCCCATCTCCCAAACCAAAAAGCACCAAAACTGTTTAGTAAGTTGTATCTCAACTATTAACATATATCAAGTCTTACTACAGGACTTTTGAATAGTCAAGGAACAAAATTATAGATGGTAGAATTACCACGAACTATGATAGTATCATTTTGTCATAAAATTATTTGAAAATTGGTAGTTGTTATAATCACAAAAATACTCCATTGCCTGGACTAGCTGTATTACATAGAAGTCATTATGATTTTTAAATTGCTTTTAAAAAGTACTCATCTGTTTCTTCTTCCTTTCCCCTTTTATGTTAAATTACTTTGATAGGTACCACTCTTTAAAATTTAGATGCTACCTATCAAATATTGTGACAGATACAAAGAAGAAAGATGGAGCATTAGGAGGGAAAATAAATATTGGGTGAGTTTTATTTGTTTAAGGCATGAGGTTTTATTTTTCCTAAATACTCCCATGGAATAGGGTAGAAAGGTCCCCCCATCTCCCATTCTCAACATGGATAGCAGTGGCAGCTTGCAGAAAGAAGCTCTTTCTCTGTAGCTCTGCCCTTATGAGAAGACCCTGTTCTGATTCTGTGACTCATCGAAACTAAAAAGCCAGGGAGGCTAGATCTGAATGAGTAGGGTGAGCTGTGCCAGCCATATGGGAAAAATTGAACCCTGATTGTTGCCCAGTATCACCTCCTCCCTAATGGGGCTAATGCTTCATTCTGAGCCATTGCTTTCTGACTCATAGGAGGTATTTCCACCTTTGCAACTCCTCCCCTTAACTTCACCTTAACTTTGGCCTCTCAACTGCTAAAAAAAAAATTACCGAGTCTGCTGAATCCTGTCAAGTAGCTTTTAGTAGTGGATCTGCTTTTAGGTGAATATTAGCATATTGAGTATTAGAATATTGCAGTAGCATAAACTATTGAAAAAATTCATTTGTCACCACTGCAGATAGACTAGTTGGGGACATAGCTCTGATTTGTGCCCAAGACTTAATTTCTAAGTGGCTGGGTGACAGTGCAGAGAGGTCCATGCCACTGAAAGAAAAATTTATTGTTACTCATATTTCCACTAGAAATGAGAGGCATGCACTCAGGGCCACATGGGGAAGCACCAGAGCCAGAAGGCAGAAGCAGGAGTGTGGGGGAGAGCCTTTATTGTGTTTCTGTGGGAAATACCAGGCAGGGCAGGGGAAACAGCTTGGGATTGTCTAGTTTGGGTGGTGGTGGGTTTTGGGCTATACGGGTGGGATCTTCTTCTCTGGTATTGTGCCCTGGGTGAGTAAGGCCGAGGACTCTTTTTTCATGGACTGTTAAGAGCCAGACAAAGGAGGTGGCTCAGAGTGTGGGCTTTGGATTGGTTGGTTCTCATATGAAAGTTATGCTTCCTCATGGGCCCTTTGCTGCCTCTGACTGACCAGCCCAGTGAGGCCCCCAAGATGTCAAAATATCATAAAGTCTTTTTTAACACACGATTGATGATTGTCCTCTCATGTTTTGACATCACAGTAAGGAAACTTTGGAGTGATAATAATGGAGACATTAAAGAGTAAGGCATACGTTACCTTGAACAGCACCAAAAATTTTTTTTTATTATTATGTTATGTTAGTTACCATACAGCACTTCATTAACTTTTGATGTAGTGTTCCACGATTCATTGTTTGCATATAACACCCAGTGTTCATTGCAAGGTGCCCTCCTTAATACCCATCACCGGGCTAACCCATCCCCCCAACCCCCCTCCCCTCTAGAACCCTCAGTTTGTTTCTCAGAGTCCATAGTCTCTCATGGTTCGTCTCCCCC